ACTCAGAAATCCGCCTGCCTCTGCCTCCCAAGTGCTGGGATTAAAGGCGTGTGCCACCACTGCCTGGCAAGGCAATGCTTTCTAACGCTGTAATTTCTCCCACCTAGGGATGGTCCAACCCTCCTGAATGTGAGCATCCCTCATCCTCAGAGCCAGCTAAAGTCGCTGCTCTCTCAGAGGCACTGGCCTCATTATCTGCTTCCCCTGCATTAAAGAAGCCACAGCTCTCTCTTTACTTGTTTGTTATTCTGGCATCTTGCTGTCTTCCATCCTCTTCCTTCCCACCCACCTGGGCCACACACAGTCCTTTGGGGCTAGCTGGTACTGTTATCATCCACTTTGCATATAAGCCAATGGTCCTCAACTTGTGTGTCAAAATCCACTTGGGGTACACATCAGATATCCTTTGTATCAGGTATTTACATTATGATTCATAACAGCAGCAAAAGTTACAGTTATGAAATAGCAACAAGGTAATTTTATGGACGGGGGTCACCTCAACATGGGGGACGGAATTAAAAGGTCTCAATATTAGGAAAGTTGAGAACCACTAAGAGTAGACAGGGCTGGGTGAGCGTGCAGCCTAAAGCTTAGCAGCTCAGATCTGGGGCAGAACCACGAGTCAGGCGTGGGGACCCAAGCTCCCCACCACATACCCCACGGCTCTTCTCAAACCCAGTGCCTCAGCTCTTGCACAGTTCTTCCTGCTTTGTCCTTGGCTTCTTTCCCATTTCAATCCGTTTGTTCTCCACACTTAAATTCCAGCTCCATTATTTCAGGCTTGCTGAACACACCTCACTCCTCTTGAAACCACTAACGCCCACACTGTACTTAATTAACTGCCTGGTAAATATCTTATCCTCAAAGATCCAGATCGGCGATCACTTGATAAAAGAAGTCTACCTTTAATACTTTCTGTATTGTCTCTTAGCCAAGTCAATTACCCTTTCCTTCATAGTTCTCAAGGTTCTTGTGTATACACTATTCTCAATGTCTCCCACCAAGTCTGCTGATTTTTATACATTCTTAATGATGATCGGCTATATGGGGGAGGGGTGGTAGCTTGTTATTTTTGAATCCTTAGTGCCTTACTAGTTGATGCTATTCAAAGGGATGGAAAATGGGTCCTTAATGGGCATGGCCAGGATCTGATGACTTTCTGAGTTGATCTCTAAAAGAAAACAATCTGTGTTCCTCCCCTCACAAACCTTTTTCTCCCATTCTTTCATCAGCTTCTTCACCTTTGCTGAATCTGGGTCGAGGCAGGCTTGATCTCCGTTCTTCAGTGTAGCACTGTGCCAAAGAAATGCCAGTAAGCCGTCTCCCCCAGTAACAATCTAATAATTCTTAGTAGAAACAGTGAAACAAGCATGCATTTTACCTAGTTTTCCAGCGAAACCACTTAAAATGTAGCAAAATGTCTTCTTAAGAGTAACAGGTAGATTTAAAAAAAATTGTAGCAGATCTTTCAGGAGATGCCTTAATTTCTAAAAATTAATTTCTTTATATATCTCAAGACTAAGAATAGCTATTTATATAGAATCCCTTGATTTAGGTGTCAAAGGTCATATATATGACATATATATGTGTGTATGTGTGTGTGTGTGCATTTATATCCTTTATATATATATATATACATATGGATACATATATACATACATATATATATATAAAATTTAACTTCACAATTCTAATTTCTAAGAGGCTTGGAATGGTGGCTTATATCTGAAGTCTCAGCATTCACATGGACAAAGAGGACCATGAGACTGAGGACAGCCTTGGCTACCTAGCAAGACTCTGTCTCAAAACAAAACAAGAAAGTCTAAGCTCTAGAAAAGAATTACTAGGAAAGAATTAAATACAATACGACTATAGTAATAGTTTTACAATAGTGAATTTTTTTATATATCCTTTGTTTCTAGCAGTGGGCACGGGCTATACAAATTATAAACTATCGATATGATGTAAAACAGCTTAGCCATTAAAAGTCATTATAAGGGCCAGTGAGTTGGTGCAGCTGGTAAGCATACTTGCCTCATAAGCCTGAAGAGCTGAGTTCAACCCCAGAACCCCAAATAAGGACAGAGGAGAAAACCGATTCCATCAAGCTGTCCTAATTGCTATATGCATACTATGGCATGTGCGCTTGAACACACAGAATATGGATTAGAATTTGTTTTATTTTAACTTCTATGTGTCTCTTGCTGTATATGTGTACTAGTATGCAGGTGCCCACAGAATCCAGAAGAAGGCATAGGATCTCCTGGGGGTGAAGTTACCGATGGTTGCGAGTAATATAAACCAAACTCCTCTTAACGTATCAGCCATCTCTTTGCAACCCCTCAGAAAGTTTAAATACCATTTTTAGGATTCAGGACTAGGGTTAAGTAGAGAGAAAGAGTACGTGCATAGCCTGTGTGAAGTCCTAGTTTCAATCCTAGCACCCCAGAAAACTAACAAGTATAGCATTATTAGAGAAAATTGTCATGAGAAACTGTCCATTGTTATTTTGCTAAGGAAAAAAACAAATTACAAATGGCAACTCCTCCTTATCTGTAGGGAAGATGTCCAGGTTCCTACACTCTCAGATGGTACCTACGTACCTATATGTCTACATACCTAAAATAAAGTCTAATGTGCAAATTAAACAGAGTATGATATGAACAACAAAAAATAATATTACAATGAATCAGCTACAGCAATGTACTATAGTGAAATTATTAAAAACTTACGACCTATTTGTTTCTGGAATATTCTATTTAATATTGTGGACTATGATTGACTTCAGGAAACTGAAACTTAGGAACTTAATAGATAAGAGAGAACGACTGTATATAATGTTTGCCTTTATTGATCTTACTTTTGTATGCACATATATATGTATGTATTACATATCAATAGGAACACATGTATGAAGGAAATGAAGGTGTTTTAAAGAATCACATGCCTAGGAGTTAAGAGAGCAGAATTACGATTTTTTATTTTTTTCTTTTCACAACTTGCCTAAACATATAAACATCTAGGAGCCTTTTTTTTTAAAACCTCAATTATATTTTCTTTTATTTTTAAAATGTTTCTATTAATTTGTTGAGAATTCAATTCTTATATTTTGATTATATCAATATAGATATATTTAATAAGAATACAATTAATAATTAACAGGGATATATCAATTATATTTAATTAATTTTGATAGTCAAATATACATTTTTGGTATTAGAAACCTAAATAGCCTTAAAAAGATAATTTGGTCTCAGAAACAGTTTATTATTTAAATGATATGTCACCTTTTTTTCATTTTCAGTTTCCAGCAGAAATTTCTTATTTTGAGGAAGAAGAAAGAAAGGGAGTAGACAGATTTATAGAGGAGCTGCCTGCCCACATGCACAAGTAAGTACGCTGAGGGTGAGACTCCCACTAACTCCAGTGTGGAATGTGTGTGTTGGAAGCTTTTACTTACATGATTTCAGTTTTGTTGCAATTAGGGCTTGGGGCAAACTGTTTGAGGTCTTTGAGGGATTTGTAGTGGATCGTGCCTTGGCTGGTGCTGATGCAGGAGCATCGCTGATTTCTTATGACTAGAGTTCCTAGAGAAAAGATAATGCACATTTATTAGGGTCCATTAGATTGATGGGTTTATCTCAGTCACTATTGCTGTGACTGAGTGTGTGTGTGTGTGTGTGTTTGAGTGTGTAAATCATCACCACTGCTTTTCAAGGTAGGTGTTATTTCCATTCTGTATACTCGGAAGCCAAGGTTAAGGAAAAAGTCATTTAGCAAAAGGGAGCAGGGGAAGAATTTCACTTTAGATCACTCAGAGTTCTTAACTACGTTACTTCACAACCTTGGAAGAAGAGAAAACCTCCACCATATTTAAATCCCTACTGAGGTTAGGCACACATATGCAACCCATCAGTACTAAGGGGACTGCTTTCTTAAGCAGTTTCTCAATCTACCTCTTGCTACTGGGGGCATGGAGTTGATGTAGGTGTTGACAGATAGCTTGTCTTACAGTAATTAATCACCATTTCAATCTTTTTTTTCTTTCTTTCTTTTTTTAAAAGATTTATTTATTTATTATATATGAATACACTGTAGCTGTCTTCAGACACACCAGAAGAGGGCATCAGATCTCATTACAGATGGTTGTGAGCCACCATGTGGTTGCTGGAAATTGAACTCAGGACCTCTGGAAGTGCAGTCAGTGCTCTTAACCACTGAGCCATCTGTCCAGCCCCACAATTTCAATCTTATTCCCTCTCATCCCCACTGCTCTGAAAAGTCTCTTTAAAAATATCTCTCCATCCCTTATTGCTTACCTAGAGTCAGCATCTATTTGTATAGGTTTTGCCATCATATAATAACTACAACACTTCTACTTTACACATGTGGAAAATGCACTCTAGGAAGGTTCTTTGCCCAAGTCACGAATAAGGGGGCCAGAGACAACCTCTCTGACTTCTGAATTCTCAGTTGGTTAACCACAGACATTCTTATCAGTACACAGCATCAGGTGAGGAAAGTGATGCAGGAGACAACTTACAAAAGGATCTCTTCCCGGGTGGTGGTGGCGCACGCCTTTAATCCCAGCACTTGGGAGACAGAGGCAGGTGGATTTCTGAGTTCAAGGCCAGCCAGTGAGTTCCAGGACAGCCAGGGCTACACAGAGAAACCCTGCCTCGAAAAACCAAAAAAAAAAAGGATCTCTTACCTCACTCCCTGTTGTCAGGGCTTCGGATTTCATATCTCGCATGATAAATGACAGACTCAACACTAAATAAAGACCCCAGAGTCTCCTTTACATCTGAGAAATGGTTTCTCATTATTAAAATATTCAAATATGCTTTGAACCCTCATTGGGAACTCATGATATCTACACCAAGAAGGCATATTTGACTTGGCAGGTAGAGATTATGACCTTTGGATAATTGTTCACAGCATCTAACTGCTTTGATGACTGAGTAATATAATATAACTTTTTATTGCATGCAAGACATTCAGCTTTATCTGCTGGCATGAGAAGGCTTTTACAGTCATGCATTCCTCAGAACTTACTAACTTAATACAGTGTAAAACTCCTCACCTCGAACTCCACACTGATCTAGGATGATGACGCCCAAGAGGAAAAGAACAGCGGACTTCATGGCAGAGCTGAGTTCTATTGAGTCACCGTGCTGGAGTGAAGTCCAAGAATGTCTTTAGAGAAAATGTTCTTGGGGAATCATATTTATCTAGGAAATCCCTTTTCCTTCCTGTCTCTGATTGGCTGATCTCCTCAGCTGACCTAGAAGAACTAAATTAACCACAAACTTGATTGTCCTGGGGAAAACCCTACTCTCGGATCCCAGGGAATTTCTGCATGTTCTACTTCCATTTCACATAAACGGGCAGTTTATAGTAAGGGATGCGAAACCACCAGTACCCTCTTTTAGCCCAGGCTGAGTTGCTACCTGGATGCAGAATAGATTATACAACGAGTATAGTAATGTCATGCAATGCAGGTTGGAGATGCGCTTCCCACGTGGGTTGTGATCCTCTCTACACTGTAGGGCGATGCTAACATTTCCTCATACTGTCTTTCCAGACAAGTCAAAGCTTCTTCATTTGTTGAGGGTAAATCCATCTTGCTTCACTGCTGCTGCAACTTCCTATCACTATAATCGTTAGATTAGTTGTGTAGTCCACAGCTGTTCTGTTCCTGGCTGCCTTTTCCAGATGTTTCACCAGATATTTGTGACACTCATGGTATGATGGCGAAGTGAGAAAGCACACATTCATGAGCCTTTTCTGAGGAGTTTAAGGAGGCACAGATAGTAAATGGCATTCAACAGCAAAGAATTTCAAAGATAGAGTAGCTGTTAAAAACACTCTGGTTGTTCGAAATTCTTGAAGCCATTGAAGCTAAAACAAGAGTTAGTATGACAGCAAGAGAAATAATATCAAGCTTCCTCAGAGAATATTGCTTTCTGGGACAGGATGCAAGCTGGAGGAAAGAAACATAGACATAAAACAACAGGACAAAGGAACAAAGCCAACAATTACCCTTTCAAAACAGGATCTGAGAAAGGGAAACAAATAAAAGCAAAAGTACATATATGTGTTGGTGCTATATATAGTCTTTTGATATTGTCACAAACAATAGTGCTTTAGGACAAAATGAAAGTATTGCAACGGGGCTGACCAATGCTGGATGAGACTGGCAAAAAGTATTAAATAAAACAGGGTATTACTATTATTATTATTATTGTTATTTTGCTCTACTTCACACGATCGTTAATTTAGGTAGGACTGGAAAAAACTTAGAATTCTTTGGCTTTATTTCACAAAATCATTGAGTGCACTCATTAGTAGAAGGGAAAGTTAATAGCTAGGAGATTATATTGTTCTGTAATTGACTACACTTGTCTAGACTTTCACCGTCTCCACAAAGACTTTCTACTCTTTCTTTACCTCCTCTAGAGATGGCTGGACCAGAGTTTCAGTGAAACAGCTCACATACCTTCCTTTTAAATGTATCTGGACAAAATGAACAACTATCATGTAAATTACTTTTTTTCTTCTCTCTGTTCTGCCAGTAGCTTTCTTCCCTCTTCATCCCACCTCTCCCTAGAACAGCTGGTTTGACTGAATTGTAGGCAGTTTTTAAGAGTCTTCAGGTAGCAGGCAATGCAACAACCCAGGGTGTACCTTACTCTTGGTAAAAGAAAAACTAAAAATATTTCCCAAATCAAAGTAAAAGACATCTAAACAATCTTTACCAACTTTTTCCATTATGTACTCCCTTTCCCTATGGAAAATCATATGGAACCTAATTAAAGTTTAAAATAAATAAACCAAAATCAAAAGTATATTTCTCCCTAAAGAGAGAAATGGAAATATACATAATATATTACTGTAATGGATATAATATATACTATATATTATTGTAATATATTCTAAGACATAGACTTTATAAGGTGAAGTTAAATCTTAATTGGGCATTAATCATTGTAATACAATTTTTTTTAAAAAGATGAGGTCAAGGTCTCACTCTGTATAGCAGGTTGACTTTGAACAGGCCATTGTCCTGCCTCAGCCTTGTGAGAATTGAGATTGTAGATCTGCATCCTGTGCTCCGCTAATGTCTAAGAGGTTTGGTTGTTGTTGTTGTTTAGCTTTCCCAGACTGATACCTGTCCTGGGAGCAATAATCTTCCCCTATCCCTAAGGAATGCAAGCTTTAGAATAAGGGGATACCTTATATTCATCTTTTATGTTACATAGTACAAGCTTTAAATAGTTCCTATATAGATTAATAACACATAAGTAAAGTATTACAAAAAATCATTTTGAAAAACAAGACAAGTGACTTTTGATAAGCTTATTCATCAGTTTAGCCCTGGTGATGACTGTGACCAAGGCTAGGCTGGACCTGGGTTAGGTACCAGTTTTGCCAACCCTGGATCTCTCACTCAAGATAACTCCCAGTTTCACAAGTGGCTGTTAAAGATTAACAGCAAGAATATACTTACTACCAGTGGGTAGCGGTCAAACAGAGACTTGTAATTAGCCAAAAGGTGGAGAATTACTGACTGCAGAGTGCTCTGATTCTCAACAGTACACTTATGTCACCTCTGCCCCCACGGTTCAGGGAACATCCCAGAGGAGGCATTAGAAGGAGACAGAACTTGGGGAGGAGTACTGAGATAGTTTTCTGGACTGGAGGGCCCATTGCACTGCAACTGTTTACCTGCTCAGGACGCGCAGAGCATCGGTCATCGTTTCATCATACCTAGGGGAGGGGCTCAAGATGCTCCACCCTTAATTAATGTTTATGAGTCAAAAAAGAAAACAAGAGTTCGGAGTAGGAGGGGGATTTCTGGGAAGAAGAAAGGTTCCAGCAGGAGTGAGGGATGAGAGAGGGTAATGGATAGTGGAACTTGCCTAAAATTCAGTATGCGCATGTATGAAATTGTCGACGTATAGCTAAAAAGCACATACGCCTAGAAGCAAGTAACACCGAGCCAGTCAGTGGCTCTTCTATCCAACAGAGCTGATGGAGACTTCTTAGAAGGCTGTCGGATTTACTTTCTCAGCCTCTTGCATCATTCTTTCTTCTCATTTTCTGATTCACTGCTTGTGTCTCTTTCGTGTCTGTAGTGTGACTACTATGCATGCTTATGCTGCAGCATGGTAATTTTACCCTAGTCAGCACCCCCGCTTTAGGACAGCCTTCCCCCAGCTCCACAAGCAGTTGGTCCTCTCTGCTGCATGTATGTGTTCACGACACCTCAAGGCACATCCTCATAGATCGGATACAGTAAACAGTGTTAGCTTGTCTGGGATACTCTATACTCTCTACTAGAGGAGGGTTTGTAAAGACCCATGTTTGAACATGGTGATAACCCAGCACCTATCCTGGAAGAATGTTCTTGAAGCCTGGTGCAGTAAATACTAAGTATAAATGTTCGCAAGTGACAAACAGGGACCAGATCCCAGCTGGGCAGATCTGGCATCAGCCAAGGATTGAAATCTTGAGCCATTGATTCTGTGACCTCTTCTAGTTGGGCTATGCATAGTGCGCATGCCCAGCCAGTTTGCTTCCAGAACTTTCCTCCACCCGGAGCTCAACGCTCACTCTCCGTGTGTAGCTGCCGGGGCTGCCTGCACTGATCTGCTGAAGAAAAGAGGCACTTTATGGAGGAAAGGTAATATGTGTCCTGGGGCTCGCCTTTCTGTCCCCACTGTTCCTCTGCCTCCTGGCCTGAGGAAGCCATTTTCCCTAGGAAGTAGAGTGGAGACTCAGTGACCCTGGGGATCCCTGGAGCCCCATATGCGGCTTTCATGGGAGGTTTGGCGAGGGTGGGAGGCAGCAATGCTTCCAGAAGCCTAGCTCATGGTGTGGAAGCCACAGGGCTCAGGAATATCCCTTGAGGGCGGCTGAGATGACCCAGAGGAAGGTCCATTGGGTAGGAGCTGATGTTGAGGTTGGCCAGACGCTCCAGGGACTGAGCCCGTTAACCCAGGATGTCCTGAGCCCCTGAACCCCAGAGCCCTGGAGGCCCTGAACCCCTGAACCACGGATCTTAGGCTCCCTACCACCTGCAACGGCTCCTTCCTACCATAACAGTGGAAATATCTTTCCAGGGTAAAAGGCTTCTCAGATCAACCAGGGTCCTTAGGCAATTTGGGTTCAGGCATTGTAAGACATTTGCTTTCCAGACTCCATTTTTGGCAAGTTTCACGCTAGCTTGCAGAGGAAGTGTGGTATAGACTGGAGAAAAAGAAAAGAGAAAAATCCCACAGAGACCACATTTATGGATAGAAAGCGTTTTAGGAGAAATCGAAACTTGCTAAGTAAGACAGGATGTTGCTGGAGTGTCTCACAGGCCTGGGAAGGAAGCCAAGGATTATCAAGACTGTTGAAATCAAGAGACAATTTTTAATTTCTCCTTGGACAACATCAAACAAAAACAAACAAACAAAAAATCCCCCCCTCTTTTTTTTTTTTTTTTTTTAGCTTGAAAAAATTCCATGTCAAGTGTCCCTGAGGAACTCAGTGGTGATGTAATCCCCTAGAGGCAGGCAGAGCAGGCTTGTTGGACCTCACATTTGGTATCTGGCCTCTCTTTTTAACTGTTTTATTATGGAATTGTGTAGATCTGTTTAAATAGGTTAACAGTGTGACTGTGTAGTAAAGACATGAGGCTTCCTTTGGCTTTTCAGAGGGGAAGTTTCTCTCAAATTGAAACTCTTGTGCTCGTTTTAACTTCTCAGTGTCTGGACTCCCCTCTTTCCACCAGTCTCTCCTAATAGTAAAGGATCCCAACTGAAAAACAATGCATTTCTTGAAAGTCCCTTGCTGTGAGTTAGCATTCTGAACTTTGTTTTTCATTAGTCAGTGAGTTATTCCTCCCTTTAAGAAAAAAATTTTAAAAAAACTTTTTTTTCGCTAACCAATCATACTTTTGTTTATCTCAGGCCACCAAGAAAAAGGAACAAATTCCTCCTTCATTAATCTTATGTCTTGGCTTCTTGGTTTGTGTCTAATATAAGCCCCAGGGCCGATTAGATTAGTAAATAGATAGTTCTGAGAGATAATGTCTGGACATCTTTTCAAGGACAGATGTAATCCAGTGTTGGCAACAACACTCTTGTTGTGTCCTGTGACTTTTGGTGAGCCAGTCTGCAGTCTGATGGCATGCAATAATAATAATTGCTCAAAAGCTGCTTCCAAGACAGAAGAAAATTATCCCAGAAG